CCAGTTCTAAGCATGGGAGATCAGCAGAGGCTGCTGTTCTTGGGTGGGGGGGTTGGAGACAGGTAATAAGATAAATTAAAAACATCTCAACTCAGGTGGGATCAAAGTGGCAGAGGGATGGAGGGTTATCCTGTAAACGGAGTGAGTAGTCAGGAAAGCTCCTGTCCCCATGACATCTGAAAAAGATGTGAAGGAGGGGAGGCAGGAGTCATGTGGTATCTGGGGGAGAGCATTCCAGGCAGAAGGGAAGAGCATGTGCAAAGACCCTGTGGCTGGAGTCTGTCTGATGGAACAGCCGGAGGCCAGGTGGCTAGAAGGCGGCGGGAGAGTCATGGGAGATGAAGTCAGTGTGATGTTACATCTGTGAGATGACCTGGAATCCGTCAGTCTCTGTCTCTAGGCTGCCAGCCTGAGTTGCCCGGAGCATCCCTAGCCTGGAGAACGTCAGTCAGCACGGGGACCACGACTGTTAGTCACATGAGCAGATCAGAGATTATGGGCCCCAACATTTTCATGTCCCTATGTGAAAAAATCAATTTCAAGTGGATTAAAGACCAATAGTTTCATAACAATAGAAGGGTTTCTTCAACAAGATACAAAAAGCCTTAATCAAAAAGTAAATGCCTAAAATGTTCAACAGAATTAAAAGTAGAACTGTTCTTCGGAGGGCCATTTAAACTGTGAAAAGCAAGCGACCAGCAGGAGGTCTATCTGCCACATGGGTAACTGACAAGAACTACGGAGGAACCCCTACAAATCAGCATGACAGCCTGATGGACAAGCGTGCACAGGGCGCACAAATAGGGAACCCCAAGGGGGCGGTAGTCCAGGGAAGAGTCCTGTGCCCGCCACCTGATGATGCCAGGTGTTGGGAGGCCGTGGGGACACGGAGCTTCCTACTGCAGGGCGGCGGCTCATGGGAGTGGCTTTGTCTTCTAAAGCTGACCAAAGGCGTGCCACAGGCTGCAGAAGGTCCACCCTGGGCGTGCCCCAGAACTGCCACACGTTTGCCCGAACACCTGGACAGAGATGTCCACTGCCCCTTCATTCACACAGTCCAGGCTGGAAGCTACCCAGACGCCCACCACCGAATAAACAGATCGCAGTGACTTTGCTCACAAATGCCGCTCCCGGCGACAGCCAACAAGGGACAGCTCTGTGCACTCCTGAAAACACCATGCTCTGGTGAGAAAATGCCAGCCTGTAAAGCATAAGCTGAGACTCTGTACGTGAGGTTCTAGACCAGGCAACACAAAGCCCTGTCAGGGAGGGAGGCTCTGAGGGGGCCGAGCCGCAGGGAGAACACGGGGCCCCAGCACAAGCCAGGACCGGGGAGCCCCCCAAGCAGCTGGAGGCGGCCGCGAACGGGGGAGGGTCTGCAGGGTGGGGGGGGCCTGGAGGGCTGGCAGCATTCGGCTTCCTGACCTGTGCGGCGGTCCTCGTGAACTCAAATCTCTAAACTGCCCAGATATGTGTTACTTTTTCTGTATGCCTATCACAGTTCACAGCTTTGAACAAGTCAGTGTGGTGGGGGAGGGGCAGACTCAGAATGGGAGGAGCTGTGGGTGTCCTGGGCGCCTTCTGCATCCCAGCTGCCATGCGAGGCAACTGACCCACTTTCCTAGTATGCTAGAGGGGACCAAAGCTCACACAGAGAGGGGGGCTTGCCCCCAGGCGCACAGCCCAGTGGCTAGGATGGTCGTGAAGGCAGGGGACCCTGTGCAGGGGGAGGCAGGGAGGGGATTAATTTGGGGATTAGCAGCGTAGCCCCCTCAGCACACAGAGAGCCAGCCGGGACTCACTAATATCTGCAAATATTCGCGTATCACAGAAAGACGTTTCCAAGTGGGAGGACGGCTGAATGAGAGAGAGGCAAGGGGCAGGGGGCACACAAGGGGCCAGTGCAGGGCCAGTAAGGCCTCGGGGAGCCTTCCAGTGGGCCAGCCCCTTCCAGGCCCTGGGGCTGCAGGAATGGCGGGTCAGACCCATGCTCTGCTGGAAGGGGCCGACCTCTACTCCCCGCCCCTCACCTGTCTCCCTGAACACATCCTTGCCTCCTCAAGGCCCTAGGGCCTTTGTGCTCCTTGGAAGGCCCATCCTGTCTGTCCTTGCAAACTTGTATCCGTCTTCAAGCCTTGGTTCAAGTGTTCCCACTTCCAGGAAGCCCTCCCTGATACCCCAGGCCAGTGCCGCAGCCTGGAATTCCTAGAAGGACCTGTTGATGGGCCTGTGCCCCTGCTCTGGAGGGCTGGCCTGGGTCTTACTGTGTGTCTGTGTCCAGTGCCGGACCTGGCACAGGGAGCAGGAATGAGTCCCCTTGGGGCTGAGCAGCAAGAGGGTCACAAAAAGCCACAGAGAAAAGGTCAGGGAGGACAAGTAGTTTGTCATGTAGACAAGAAGGCAGGTGGAAGGGTATTCTAGGCAGAAGGAACAGCATGGCAAAGGCAGAGAGTTTGTTCAGGACTCAGAAGTGGCCCTGCAGGGAGGAGGGGGAGCTGCAGAGGGGCTGGGGCAGGGAAGGCCCTGCTTGCAAGAGTCACTGAGGGTCACAACATAGCCCTTTTGCTCATCCAACAAATATTCACTAGACCTCCCCACAAGCCAGGCTTGGTGGCTGGCACCAGGGGTGGGGGTATGTATGTCATGTGTCGATGGGCAGAGGGCCTGCCCCCTCAGAGCTCAGTTCAGATTCCCAGGCCTGGCTTGCTACTGGCAGACACTGACTTGGGGAGCAGGAGGCAGGATCTGGGCATGGTTTGTCTCTTCAGACACCCCAAAACCCCTTCCCTTGGACCACAAGTGCATCTCCTCCTGCCTGGGGCACCCACACTGTGCAGTTCGGATGCCCCACAGTGAACCTCCACCTGGGCCCCTGATATGGGCTAGGACCCAGGTAGGCATGGCACCCACAGCATTTCATGTCATCCTACCAAGAACCCTGCAAGGTGGGGTGTTAGATCTTTACATCTGAGGAAACTGAGGCCCAGAGAGGGTCAGGACTTTGCCAGACACTGGCCTGTGGGACCCCAAACCCTGTAACTTACCATGCAGGACACCATGCTGACCAACGTCCCCTACAGGCTTCTGGGCCTCTTAGTCCTGGACCCCTGATACTAAATGCAGGACAGGGGCAGCTTAGACCCTACAGGGGCAGTCCTTGCACTGGGCAGGAAGAAATGGTCTGGAAAGGCCCTCAAGGCAGCTCTGAGAACTCTGAGAGGAGGGCAGGACCCTCCTTAATTCTGTGAGGCTATGCTGGGTCCTGGACACATAGGACCCCTGTTCCTGCTAGCTCCAGAATTCTGCCTCAGCTGACAGGGTGTGTGTCCTAATGCAGCCTAGAAGCCCAGGGCCTGACACTGCCACGGGCCTCAGGACTCAGCCAAGGGAAGCCCTCAGCCCACCAGGCAAAGCTTGATGCCCTCAGAAGCTCAAGAAGCAATCTGCCCACCCAGATCACCTGCCCACCTGTATCCTCTACCAGGCTGGGTCACGTCTCCGTCCCTGCTGCCCAGCACACAAAGTGGGCACTCAAGAGCCTTAACTGGGCATGGGAGTGTGGGAGAGAAAGAGAACCACAGGGGAACCTCCCCAGGTTGGCCTCAGGGCACCCCCCAAAGGCTTCCTTTCCTCAAGTCCCAGGGGAGTTAAGTAGCATCCCCTCCTCCACAGGAAACCCATTCCAGGTCAGGGCACTGATGAGATGACAGCCACTGTGGAGTGCTAGGGAGGGTCCTGGCTTGGGGTCAGAGGCCTGAGCTCATCTGTGTGGCCATAACCAGAGCTGCCACTCCCTGGGCCTCCCCAACCCCACCTAGACCTTGACCATGACAAGGTGGGCCTGGCTGAAGGTCGCATTTTGGGCCTGAACTATGCCAGCCTGAGATTGGACCCCTCCTCCCAGCCCTGGACAAGTGGGTGGTGGCCTTGTGGGACCCAGGAGGGTGTGGTGGGGCTGTTAGGCGCTGCACTCCACTTCAGTGGCCAGGAGATGGCCCTGCTCTGAGCATCCAGGCTGGGGTCTCTGTGTGAGCCCACCTACCCAAGGCTCCCACACAGGCGTTCCCAAGTGACTCGCCCACAGTACTAAGGGTCAGCTGAGGAGGCCCTGGGTCCCCTGACCCCTGGACCCAGGGATCTGCCATGTTACAAGCCTGGGCTCTGCTGGGTCCCTGCCCCGCAGGACCTCCGTGCACCTGCTAGAGTCCGTGGCACAGATGCTGGGTCTGGCCTTGGGAGGGAGGAGGAAGGGAGGCCAAAGGACCCTCTAGACGGAGACGGTGCTGATACTCAGCAGCCAGAGCCGGGCCCGCTGCCCACACAACGCCTCGGCTCAGACTCCGGAAGGAAAACACTGGAGGGGTGTTCCCAAAGTGGGGGTCAGGATGGCCGAGGGAAGTCGCGGAGGAAGTCGAGAATATCCAGATCGGCCGATCCTGGCCTGCCACGAAGGAGGACCAGGGGAGACCCCAGAGGCTCAAGTTTAGCACCCGGAGGGAAGCCACGGGGGACGGTCCCCAGACGCCGTCGCGGGGTTCCCCCAAAATGGCTCCAAAGGCGATCTCCTCGGCCGGCAGCGAGCATTCCATCCCCCACCCCGCCCCCACGAGGCGGAAACTTGAAAGCTTAGAACCAGGCAACTGTCCGCTGGGGGTGGGGCCCAGCGGGCGCGGGGCCCCGGGGCGGAACAGCAGGCGCGGAGACCCGGGGGGTCCCGGGAGAACTATCGAGAGTCCAGGCCAGGGCCCGGCGGCCGGCGCACGCCGCGTACGCGCCCGCCCAGCCCTCGCCGGCGCGCCTCCTCCCCCCGCCCGCGGGGCTCCCCAGGGTCTTGCCGCGCGCACACACGCACCACACACAGGCGCACCGGCCCGAGCCGGGCCTCCCGGGTGGGCGCGGGCCCCCTGGCGGCCTCGGGCAGGGCCCTGTCCCCCGCCCTCCCCAGCGCCCCCTCCGCCGACCCGGCCCCGCGAGCCGCGCCCGGGAGACGCTGCACTCACCTGAGTTTCTCCATGTCTGCGGCAGAGGCCTGCGAGAAACCAAACGATAGGGTCAGCGGGCAGGAGGCGTGAGCTGGGCCCCCGCGGGGCTGGGGGGTGGGGTGGGAAGCCCGGTCCGCGGGCGCCCAGCCGCCGGCAGCGGTTCTGGGACTCAGTCGGGGGGCCCGGCCCCGGCAGAGTAACAGGTGAGCCCGCCCCGGCTGCCGCGCTCCCCGGCACCGAGTTACGCCCCCCGGGGAGAGGAGGGGGCTGGTCCGGAGACCCGGGGTGGCGCGGCCCGGGGGGATCCTAGTCTCGCCCGAAGGAGGGGGACTGGGCCCGGCCCCGTTAGCTCTTCCGCGACCGAAGCCCCCGCTGCTCCCCCCACCCCCCCTTTAACCCTCCTAGCCCCGCGCTCCTTCCTTGAGGAAGCCGAGCTCGAAACGCAGAATCTCCGAGTCGGAGAAGGTTCAACCCGGGGGACTGGTAGCCGTACGGGACTGCTGAACCCGACACTCGCACAATCCGAGGATGACGGCATTTGGGACCCCAGACTACTCAGTCAGGACCCCGCTGGCCTCAGGTTCCGCGGTTCCGGGCCTGGCTCGCCCCTCCCGGGCCCGAGGGATTAACCCTTACGCACCCTGCTCGCGCGCGGGGCTCCCTGCCCGGCTTGCGCAGACCCGCCCGCGCGTGGCTCGGAGACCCTTCCTGCCCAGCCCGGCGCAGCGGGGCAGCCCTCCGTGCACCGGCCGGGAGGACCCACCCGCTGCCGTTAACCCTACGGGCGCCGGCGGACGGCCCGGACCGCAAGCGGCCGGGGCGGGATCGCACTTCCTGCGCGGAGCGAGGGGCGCGGGGCGGGATCTCCTCCGCCCGGGGGAGGCCGCTCCGGGGGCTTCCCCCAGGCTTTCCGAGCCATGACGCGCCTTAAGGGGGCCGGGGGGCCGAACCCAGGGACCACGCGACACACCTGGGAAGACTGATGACTGCCCATTCCGGCCCCTCGCGCCGGGCGCCGGCGCCGCGTCCGCCGGGAGCGCGCTCCGCTCGGGTCCGGGCCCCACACCGCCTCCCCCGCCGCCCCTCCGGGTGAGAGCGCAGCCCCGCCGCTGGGAGGCCTGGCCCGGGGGCCTCGGCCGCCAGCTCCCCGGGCGCTCGGGCAGCCCTCCGGGACTCCGCCGGCCTGTTTCCTTACCTGCGAGCTGGGGCTGGGGGCGGGGTAAGCGGACGAGGCGCTCTGTGCCCTTGAGCCCCGGCGGGCTGCGGAGGGGCTGGGTGGGGGAAGGAATTTCAGGAGAAAGGATCCCCAAGGGGCCGGGATTGGCTGCCAGACATAATCTCCAACACTCTGAAAGTTGTCGGAGCCCACGAGCCCGGACCCCTCTATATACCCTCCTCCGCGATACGAAGAGCTGCCTCTCCCCGGCCCACCCTTCCCCCAAAGACCCGGATGTACCCCAGGCCCACCTTTCCCAGGTCCCCATCACCGCGCGCAGCACCCTAGATCCCAGCATACAGCAGGCGCTCAATAAACACATGCGACGCATGCCTGGATCACCGTGGCACGCCTTTTCCTGACGATTGCTTTCTGGCTGTGAGTTCCGGGCTTCGGGCAGAAGCCCCGTCCCCTTCACCAGGGCACCCCCAGCGCCCAGCAGGCCTGACCTCCGCTGGGCAAGCGCGGGTGGGAGGAGCCGTGCCTTCCTAGGGGCAGCCCTCACCAGGTTCGGATCCAAGTCCAAAAGTCCCAGAGTTCCCTCATCTACCAACGGTTCCCCACTCATTCATTAGCTGCAGGTCAAGTTCTTGGGCTGGGGACCGGGCAGCATATGCCCGCCACAGGTTAATGGTTAAGAAATGAACCCCCACCCTGGTCCTGGGCGTCCACCCTGAGCACAGTAGCAAAGATAATGACACCACCACCCACCTCCCCTTACTCGCTGATAGCACAGTCTGCTCTCCAGGGCCACTAGCAGGGTGGCTGTCACTTCCATTTACAGACAAGGAAAGCAAAGCTCAAAGAGATGCGCCCAGCCAGGCCTGGATCCCATTCCTAGAGAGAAGCCTCTCCCACCCAAAGGCTGGGGCACCCCTCACAGGTCTCTATTGCCTCAATCACTCACAGTCAATGACCTGCCAGTAGGGTTGTCTAAAATTAATAAGAATATATTAAAATTTAATTTAAAAATTTAGCATTAATTATTTATATCGAATGTTTCAGTTCTTCTAAAAGGCCAGTCTTCCAGAAGGGACTCTGGAAAAGGCTTCTGAGTAGTCCTGGTGGCAGGGGGTGGGGAGTTTAAGTCGGGGTGGAGGCTGACAGGGAACAGGAGGGGACCGAGCTCTGGCACCTCAGCAGCCCCTCCCTTCACTCCGCTATTCCAGGCCCTGGAGTCTGGCTCTGCTCCTACGATGTCTCAAATTCTCCCCAAACCCAGTGCCTATGCCATAAACACTGGCTTCACTCTTAAAGGCTGCCTCCTCCAGGCAGCCCTCCATGGAGATCCAGCAGAGTTGTTGGGTTTGGACTTCCACACCAGATCCTCCTTGGGACAGGGTTTGTGTCTCCCAGAGGTGTCCTGTGGCTGGCCCAGCAGCTCGCCCAGTGGGTGGGAGGCATGCCCAAGGCCCTGGGTGTGCACGTGATGAGCTGTCACAGCTGTGTGCCATTGGGAGCAGGGAGAGCAGTGAGGCTGGCTCTACAGGGAGGTGCCTTTGGCAGTGATCTTGGTACTTGGGCCAGAGCCCCACGTTTAAGTCTTGACTGTGTAATTCATGACCACAAGATCTGGGGGTGCTCCTGAGAAGTTCCTGTTGTGGATGGGGAAGCCAAGACCAGAGCGTGAGATGGCTTTTGCTCAAAGTCACCTGAGGTTAGCTGAGGCCTGGGGGCTGGGGGCAGGGGGCCAATGGGGGCTCTGCCTGGGCCTTGGGCCAGAGCTGGTGCCTCTGCTATAGGAGGAGGGCAGGGGCAGGTGGGGACTGTGAGTATGAGGGCCTATGGGATGTCCAGGGTCCCCAGTGTGCAGTGATGGGGCAGGAAATGCCTCCTGACCCCTCTAGGGACTTGCAGGCAAGTGGGATCTGGGTGCTCTCCTCACATAGGAGGGCACTCTGAGTGCTCTGGGGACAGCCCATCCCTACTCTGGGGGCTGTCATTCCTGCCACCCCACACTCATGGCCTCATCCCTCTTTCTGTAGCACACCTGTGGCCTCATCACTGTCTGCCCTAAACTCTCCCGTGTCCCCTCCAGGTGGTCCCCAGCCCAGCTGCCACCTGTTTTCTCTTGACATCATACAAGCCCGACTATAGGCCAAGCTGGACTACACCACGTGCCCCTGCCTCTGTCCACCTGTTATTTCCTCCCTCCTGAGAATGCACTCCCCTCCCACAGCCTGCTCCGAGCTCCCTGCTGACCACCAGGGCCCCACTGCCTCCCTCCTGCGCCTGCTGCCTTTTCTTATTCCCTGAGTGCCTCTGAGCTTCAGGAGGGTTACCTGGGTCAGGAGCAGGCCCACCCACTCTTTAGTGGGCCCCACTCTGTTGCCAGCACAGCCTTCAGCCCCGCTATGGAAACCAATCCCATTTAACCCCCATAGCAACTTTGTGAGGTGGGTCTTACAACACCCATTTTACAGATGCCAAAACAGGCTCCAAGAGGTGACACCCCGCAACTTGCATGCACCCACGTGGAGATTTGGAGCCAGGGCTCTCATCAGCCTTCCATAGCTGCCACCCTCCCTGTGGCGTCTGGGCAGGGTGACTGGCACACAGTAGGAGCTCCCAGGAGGTGATGGAGGGAGGCAACTCTGTGCCATCAGTCCGGCCTCGGGGAGGGGATGTTATATGCAGATTTGGCCCCGCCTAACACTCTGACTGCAGCCCCCAACTTGCCCCTCACTTGGCATACACTGACCACACTGACCACCTTGCTGGTCCTAAGCTGACCTGGCTCCATCCTGCCTCAGGGCCTTTGCACTTATTGCCTCTGGATGGAATGCTCTGACCCAAATCTCTGCATGGCTGGTGACGTCCTTCTCTGGCCACCCACCTACAGTAATCCCTCTCCCCCACCAAATGGCTTCTCATCCTCCTTGGTCAGCTGCCTGCCCCCACACCCCCTTCCCCCACCCTTGCACTGTAAACAATGTCTCTGACAGCAATGCCCTCCATTTCGGCCACCATGTCTATCCCCAGGGCCTGGCATGGAGGGCTTCCAATGGCAGTTGGTGATGTCTGAATGACTTCAGTTGCTCTTAATCCGCAGCCAGAGGACCTGCTCCCCACCCCCATCCTCTAGCCTGTTCTCACGGCCCACCTTGTCCGCACACCATCCCGTGCCCCTCCCTAAAGTCCATCTTTATGCTCAGGGGGCACCTGAGCACACTTGGTTCCTGGCATGGCATCCACACATCCGCACATCTGCACAGAGCCCCACCCAGGGAGCCCCTGTGCAGATGTGGGTCAGTCCAGCTCTGGCTGCCATGAGCACATGTGTGAATCCTCGCTGGGACCATGTTGCCAGTCGCAATGCTGCCCATCACCGCCCAAACCTTCAATTCTCTAAATTACAGGAAGGAAAGCAAGTTCTCACCTGGGGAGGGGCCTGCTGGGTGCCAAGGGCCACACTGGGGACACAGGACCCTGGGCTCTGGTTCCAGCTCTGCTTCTGATCTCCTGTGTGACCCTGGGGCAGCTCCTACCCTCCCCTGAGGCTAGGGGCTGGCCTTTCAGACTCCAGCCCCAGAGCTCAGCCCCTTGGGCCTCCTTACATCCTCTCCGGGCTCCAGCTTCACTGGTTTCCCCCTTGCCCTGCTCCCCATCCCACTGGAAGGGAAGGAAGCAAGCTGAGGAATATGGGGGGCAGAGATGAGGCCTGGGCTGGCAGGGGGCACCAATCCCAGGCACGGCCAGGGCAGGGCCACCCACCTCCCACTGACAGAGATTTGGGCCTCCTAGGCAGCTGTGTGACCTTGGGCAAGTCTCTCAACGTCCTTACAGATTGGAGATAAGGTAGAAATTCTTGAAATGACATTATTAGTGACAAGGTGGCCATGTGTAAGGGATTGTCGGGAACAAGGTTAGTAAAGGGCTATGGCCACTCTGGAGAACCAGCCTCTTAATTCAAGCATTTGAGTTTGACACCCTTCTAAGATGTTTTACATCCTTCCTTGCCTTCTTGCATTCACTCAACAAACATTTACTGTGTGCCCTCTTCTAGAAGATTCAGCAGTGAACAAACTGAAGGCAATTCTGTGCTCTCGTGGTGCTGATATCCTCCCAGTGTCTGATGGGAGGATCCACTGAGCAAGGGGGGAAGAGGAAGGGGAGGCTGCGGCCAAGCTGGGGGTTGCAGCTGCCAACAGGGAGGTCAGGATGGAATGTGAACAAGGACTGGGTAGCTGGTGGGAGGAGCAGGCCCTGAGTGTGGGGTCCTGGTCACCAGAAGTAGGGGCCTAGTTGGGTGAAGAAAATTAGGGTTAGGCATCTATCAGATGTCCTATAAAGGACATGGACAAGGGGGCAGGTACAGATATTTGGAGTTCAAAGGGGGGTCACCCAGGGAGTGAGCGCAGATGGGAAGAGGATTTGGCCAAGGTCAGGGCCCAGGGAAGGGGCAGAGCCAGCCAAGGAGATGGAGAAGAAGCAGGCAGGCAGGCAGGCAGGCAGGAGAAGAGCAGGTGTCCCCAGGAGGAGGGAGGACACGGCAGTGTCACAGACTGGGCAAGAAGCTGGCCTGGTGTCCCTCAGCATCCCCTGTGGGGCTAGCCTGTGCAAGGCACACAGTGGGACATCCACCCACAGCATAGCTGCAATGCCAAGGTGGCATTACTCGATCAAGGGGAAAGGGGTGGGCACTCGCTCAAGGTCAGCCAGCAAGGTGGGGACCTGAACCCTGGCCTGGCTTGGGGCTGTCCTCAGATAGGGCCAGGGAACTCCTTCCCCTTGGGAGCCCAGAGTACCTGGCTTTGGGCTGATGGGTGTGTGCCCCACCCCCCCTCTGAGCCCCCAGCTAGCCCGGCTTCTGCATGGCCTGGGCAAGGCCTCAGTCCCCAGCCATGCGCTAGAGCAGATGGGAAGGTTGATGGACTAGGCCAGCGGCTGCAAACTGGCCTCCTAAGCTGAATCTGGCCCACCAGCATGTTGTATTTGGCCTACAAGACAGTTTAAAAATTTTAAAAAACATTTGAGCCAATATTTAAAAATTGGGAGCATTTACATTTTAAAATCCATAGTTTTGGCTTCTACTAAAAATGTGGAAGATCTGGAAGCTCAGGCCCACACAGCTGGGGAGCCAGGAAGCAGCTGCCCCAGCAGAAGCACTCTGGGGGTCCCCCGCTGGGAAGAAGCACAGCCCACACCTCGGTTTGCCCTGCCGAGGGAGACTGAGGCCTGGAGGAATGTGTCGAGGTCACTCAGCAGGATCCGGCTGCAGGGCTTGGGATCTAACCTGGGCCGCTCTGGGGCCCCCAGCCTGCCGCTCTGCTCCGCCCGTGACCCCCGCCGTGGCCCTCCCACCTCTTCTGATTCTTTTGTTCCCAGGAAACAGCTGGTTTGAGTCATTCACACTGCAGTATGAGTGAGCCTTGGAACCAGGTCTGGGGACTGTGACAGCTAGAGGTCCCAGGGACCTTCTGCAGTGGTTCCTTCTGCAGACCAGGGTCACCCCTGGCCACCCAACCAGACAGGGCAGAGGCAGGGCTGACGTCCAGTGCCCTCCCCTGGCCTGTGGCTTCTTCCCTGAAGTGGTTAGTGGTGGAACCCCAGGCACTGTCCCTCTGGGTTGATGACTGGAGGCCGGAGGTCTGGCCTGCTGCCCCACAGCTCCACCCCCACCCGGGGAGCTGTTCTGGGGGCACAGGCCTGTCCAGGTCAGGAGGGCAGGAGACATGGCGGGGCTGTCACCACCATCTTCATCCCTGTCATCATCCCAGTGACTGAGTCCCTGTGGGTGCCTGGTTCACTGAGCCAGGGCAGGACCCGGCCAGGACCCCACTGGGCACAGCTCTCTGCGCCGGTCCCTGGTCCGTGAAGTGGGCCTGGTACTGGTGCCCTCTCAGCACCCGGTTAGAGTATTTGCTGTGAGAC